CGGTGACAGAAAAAGAAGCAGTGGACACAAGTTGGAACTTGCAAAATTCCTATTAAGGATAAGAAAAAACTTTTTCAACTTTAGAATGGTCAGCCACTGGAACAGGTTGCCAGAGACGACGTCGTATCTCCATTCTTGGAGATACTCAAAACTCGACAGGCCCTGAGCAATCTGAGCTAAGTGGGCTTGCTTTGAACAGGGCGTTGAGGTGACCCTCAGAGGTCCTACCTAAATTATTTTGTGACATCTGTGATGTTTTCAAATGTATTTTTCCATTGCAAAGAACGTTAGGGGCCTATTGATACAGGAACCCACCAGAAGCTACCAGAGTATACGTAACTAAGAATAAGGACTATCATAGGTATCCTGGTAAATAACAACTTCAGTAGCAGTCTCGAAGGGACCGGGACTCAGTTTGTAATTGCCGTAAGTCAACAGTTAGTTTATGTCAGTCTCTTGCTCTAAGCAAGTTATCTTCCACACAGCAGTGTGCCCTCTTACTTCCCTGCTGGCTCTCTGCGAGGTTTACACCGTTCCTGGCGCAGAGCTGATACCTATGAATAAGTCTCCTTTTAAAACAAATCAAAGCGTGCATATGAGTTTTTGTGTTTTATTTTTCCCCATGATGTGTGCATTTATTAAACAAACAAGCCCTTGTCGGGTGAAGGAAGGATGATTTACCTGAAAATATGAAGCATGATTTTCTCGGTAGAGGTCTATGGCAGTACTCGCGTATTCAGGAGGCCCAGGTCTGCATTCAGAAAGCTGCATCAGCTCCTGCTGCAAATAGAAATTTCATGTGTTTAACTTGGCCCAGAATTTTTACTTAAAAAGAACGTTATATTTTACACCTTTTACTGATTTATTTAACATGCCCTGGAGTATGTGACATGCAGTCAGAGCAATCTCATTAGCTCTTTTACACATTAGAACTGCCCGAGGTCAGTGTTCAATATAATGTTCAGGAGATATAAGCGCCTACAACATAATTTGCTCGTGCAGTCTCTCATTGAATTATACCCATAAGGAACACCCACTTCTGTTAAATCTAACCTTTGTTGTTAGTGGGTTGCTTTTAGTAGCCAAAACTGTATTTCCAGCTTCTAAAATATCTTGGTCTAATTTTTAATTGTTTAATTGCAAACAATGGATATTGAACCAATCTCCTGAGTAGGTGCATGGCTTTTGTGAGCTAAAAAGCTTAGGAGAATCTGTGTTTCCTGTTTACATTTTTCTGGAAATTTTAATGAATGTCCTTTCATTGTTTTTAAATCGGTGCTTATGATAAACCCTCCAGCCCTTTCCGCACATGCTAACTTAGGTTAAGAGAGTTTGATTTGCATTTTTAAGCTGTATATTGAGTTGAGTTTTGGCTCTGCCTTATGTTCTGCATCTGTAATGGTGTTATATTTCTGCATCTCTATGGACAGGTTGCTTTGCATCAGTAACAGTCAATACGGGACTGCCACAAATGCCATTACTACAGTGAACTCACTCTGTCCGTGAAAAAGTGGCAGTTACACACATGACAGTGTTTACTTCTGTCTTTCCAACCATTTTAATGACTACAGAGACTTCAGGGGAAACATGGTGGGGCCTGGAAGGGAATGGTGGGACCGTTCAAGATGATGGAAAGGTGGAAGGGAGAGCCCACGTTAACCAGCTGCAACCGGGGGGGCCGTAGGCGACAGCGGTGTTTCTGCTGCGATCTTCCAGCCCATCTCTGCGCGCTGTTGTTCACCTTGTGCATGATGCCGACGTGCGGGGCGCTCCGCTCTGCCTAGGGATTCAGTCCGTGTATCTGCTCTTGACAGCCTCATCTGCAGTTCTGGTTTTTAGACCAGCTGAACGAGCTCAAGGGTGAGAGCTGACAATAGGACAGATATATGGATTGTATTTGCAGCAAGCAATGAAAGTGGGTTTGCATGTCGCTTAAGTGTTACAAGCCCTGCATGTGCCTTTCATCCTCAGGCAGTGGATGAGGGAAGCGTTGCTTGAGCCAAGACATCAGGTCTAGGTTTCAGTTTCTTCTAGGATGTGATGTTTGTGAGATCTTCAGAAGCAGGTGCTTCCTCTGGTGCTGTGGTCCAGGCATGCATTTCTGCCCTTCAAACATGAGATGGCAGCAAAGCCTCTTCTGTTGTCGATGGTATCGGCAGTAGTAGCTGGTCACCTGGCTCACTGTGCTTTTCACTTTCTGCGTGATTCCAGTTTTGCCTGTGGTCTATGTGGTTGTGAATCAACCAAGGTAATAATTTTGTCCTAATTTATTTTATAAAGATTTGTTTGGACTAAATGCAGTGCAGTGACACCAGACAATGGTCCACAGACTGCTGCTGGGTCCAGCGAGCCAGGCTGAGTAGCTCATAGCTTGTTGGCAGAGCCTTATTAGACAATAAAATTTATGAACTCATCTGTTAAAAGTTGGATGGTGACTGTGCATGGAAATGTTAAGTGTTGACAATATCTGTGGATTCAAAGCGTTTGGAAACCTCTCCTTTATTGATTGGAGCACACAAGTCCGCATAAAGAAGTCTCCTTTCTCCTCTCATTTTTGCCGTAGGTTCCCTGTGGCAGGAAGGTTTTTGCTTATGTCCTTCTTTCTTCACATCTATAAAATGCAGCAATCCTCTTCAAGCCTTCGGTCATTGCAAGGTTCAGCAAATCTTTGTAAATGCTTAAGCTGCTTAAATTAGGTGTGATGCAGAAGTACAACGTGATGATACTGTTTTGTGGAGCTCACTTTTGAATAGTTTTATCTATTTGCTTTCTACCTGCCTTTTTTTCTTTTTTTTTTTTTTTAGTCTTCCAAGAAAAAAGAAATCATATCCTGCCTTGAGGCTAGAATTAAGCATGTTAGTGGCAATAATTTTGGGAATGTTGTTGAAGGGTGAAATGTGAGATGTACAAGGACAGTAAGAATGCCAATTTCCTATTGCTTTTGATCTGAGCTGGGCAAGTATATGTGATTAAGCAATACCTTTTGAAAAATCTCCAAATTTGTCTATTGTTTTAAAGTGTATTTCCCCCTTCAAACCAAGGGGGTTTCTGAAAGGGAATCTTTCTCCTTTTTAAGACGAAATGTGTGATATTTGGGGAGGGCTCTTTTCAGAGTCAAAGTTAAGCACTGAAATGCTCTAGGTTGTAAAACCGATCTCTGGACAGCCCTTTCACCGCTGAATGGCACGTTCATACTGTCACCTCGGCAATGGCACAAGCACCTGGTGGCTCAGCACGCTCAGGGCAGCAGGGAGAGGAGTTAGTACTCACTGTTTTGCTACCCCTTTCGAGCTAAGCAGTAAACACAAAAAGCCCCAGCGGGGACCTGCCGTGGAGTTTTCAGTGAAGAGATCAAGGAGCAGGGCTGTATTTGTATTGTATACGTTTGCTGATGGTACTTGACTCCTCTGGCTGCCCCTGGCTGGTACCTTTGCTTAAGAGCAGTGGGTGTTTCATGCAGCCAGGCACACCCACTGATTTCCAGAGAACAAGCTGTGTGTTGTATTACATCCCTATTTAGTAGGTGGTTTGAAAGTCACCCAGAGAGCTTAAACTGCCCTTTGCTCTCTAGATTTGAGTCTTGCAGTGAGCTTTCCAGTTCCTGTAAGCTCCTTGCCTTATGCCCTGGAAAGCAGATGTATCTCCAGATACAGCAAACTGGAATCTCTGTTTTTCCTTTTCCCTTTTTTTCTTTCTAAGACCTCCGGGAGCTGTGACTCGCTTCTCCTGCTGTCGCTCGTGCGGCTCGGAGGCACCACTGGTGCTCTGCAGGGCGCCTGGCGTGCTGGGTCACACGCAGGCCGCAGCGGAGCGAGCGGGGTCCACAGGCGGCTTTCCAGATCTGACAGCAAGATAGATTTGAGTCAGCATCCGAGCGGCAAAGGCCAGAAGCAGAGTCATTTAGCCTACATGCTGTTACGCACCGGTTTTTAAGCGCCGCGGTGCCAATTCCAGCTCCACTGTAAATGTGGAGTGACAGGCGCGCTGCAGTGTGCTGGGGCGTCATGCTCACCGACGGCTTCGCCAGCTTGCAACTCTGGGAGGCCCAGCAATGCTAAATTTTAAATGCCGTAGCCTATTACTTGCCTCATTTGCTTTTCCTTTTCAGGCTCCATAATTAGACACAACTTGGTCACTGCTGTACTACTACAGAGCTTAAAAAGAGTTTGAAAAGGAGAAACCCTCTGCTGCTTAGCTCCAGAGCTGGGATTTCATAGTGGTGACAGAAGAATTTAGAGGGTCCCTCTGGCCTCTCTGGGAGAGGATTTTCCTCCTTGCGTTTTGGAAGAGCTGTGGCTCCCAAACACGGGAGAAATACGCTGTATCCATCAGTTAGGTTATTGCTGGTACCCTTCTACCTTTTTTTTCAGAGTCTGTTTTATAACAGCAGTCACAAGGCCAGTCCCCCCGCTGCACCAGGGCATTAATTGTCCTGCCTCATGTGTTTGTGCCAGAAGAATGGCACCCTGCCCCAGGGTTTCCTGCACGCCACTGAGCACAGAGGATTTGGGGGTGGAAGGGCACTGCAGCATCCCTCGTCCTGCCCTAGGCAGTGGGGAAGCAATCTTGGGCATTGCTCCGAGATCCTGCCTCCACGGAAATCCTCTGTACAAAGTCTGGCCGATTAGAGATGTGCCTCAAGAACCTATATGCCTGTTAAGGGTGATCTTCTAGAAAGTTTTCACATAATTGAGCAGTTACTTGTCAGAAATTGTTCGAAAGCGTATCTGCAAGATGCAGAAATGTGCAAAACAGCTGACCAGCATGAGGTAGTTGCTATTTTTAGAGGATATAAAGAATAGGCCAGCTATTATGAGCTCTGGGAGAGCATCAGCAGCTTGGACTCATGTCCCAGCTCAACCACATGCTTGCTGTTGCAGATCCTCACTCAGGCCTTTAGTAGTTTAACATTAAACTGGGTAATAGGCCCCCAGCTCTAGAATACAGACTTCCAGCCACGTTCATATCACATCAGTATGTGTTGTTGTTTTTCCCTCTAGTTTGAAATCAGGCAGCTGAGGGCCCACCTTGCCCAGCAAGACTTGGACCTGGCTGCAGAGAGAGAGGCTGCGCTGCAAGTCCCCCACCTCCTTAACAAGCAGAGCAGCAACAGGTACAAGGTAGTGGCGACTGAAGATTCAGATGATGAAGCCACCGAGAACATCACTGAGTTACGACCACCACGAGGTGAGTGCTGCCTGTGTGCCACTACCTGCTGGCACAGTAGCTCCCTTAGACGAAGTTAATGAATCCGCTAAATACTTTTACTCCATCAGTGAATTGATTACTTTCCCTGGAGACTGCATTTCCCCATTTTTGCAAGGAAGTTATGTCTCCTTCAAAGTGGCAGGAGCTGTTGTCATATTTGTGAACAGATCCTGACTAGAGCCAATAAAATGACTCTGGCAGAAAATGACTGTGCTGTACCTCCCCTGTGTCCTCACGATTGTATCCATCAAACCCTGAAGAAGCAGCAGCCAAGTCAGAATTGGCAAAAAAATAACCACTCAGAGGTAAAAGCAGGAAATTTGAGAACATTGAAAACCGGTTTTAGACTTTGTCCACTTGCATTTCTGTGACGTAGAGAGAACCCAGGGCAGTTATGAAATTGATGTCATGGCTCAGAGCTGCTGCTGTGTCTGTGCAGGAGCCCAGGTTCGTAACTCAGCTAGTGATATTTATAGTATTGCATTGTTTTCATACTGGCTTTAATAGTATCCAGTTAAATGTATTAGGCCAGATTAGTCTCTTCTGTAAATCTTGTATCAGCAAGGTTACCTCAGGAATTAATGTGGCTAGTTTTTGGCCAGGTGAAGAGCCTGTTGCGTGCTGGGGGGTACTCAACTACAAATGAGCTCTGGGAGAGCATCGGCAGCTTGGACTCATGTCCCAGCTCAATCATGTGGTTGCTGTGTATGTAATAGGAATATGAGCATGGATACCTAATGGACATACGAATCCATAGAGACCTGCATCTCCTGTTCTATTCTGTGAGCTATGTGATATTTTGTGAATGTTAGTCCTGGGTTAGCAGAAGAAAAAACAAGATATGCGATCAGGAAAGAGGTGGAAAGCTACGTACCTAGAACTGTATCTGGGCTGGTCATCTCCATGCTTTTATACAGCAGAGGGTCACTTTGTGGCTGCCTCTGGAAAAAGGTTTGAGGAGTACAGGACTTTCTCTGTTTGGACCAGTCCCAGCCATCCCGCTCACTACCCTGCACCTTAGCTGGCCCACCAGGTTCATGTGGTTGCCCATGCATCTGCTATGAGCCTCACCTGGTGGTTGTGCTCTTGCTGGGTTGCAGCCTGAAAGCTGCCGATGGCAGGCAGCCCAGCAGTGATCGGGCACGGGCAGCTCCGGTGCCGGCAAAGGGGCGATGCAGGGTGTGAGTAGCTCCAGTGCCAGCAAAGGGGCGCTGCACGTGTGGGCAGCTCCCGCTCTGGATGCTGAGGTCACATGCTGGAGGTGAGGAGCAGACCTGCGGGTGGGTACTGTTGGGCAGGCATGTGTGCCTCAGGAAAGTGCTAACAGACTGTATTTACCTGGATCCCTTTTTATCACCTAAGTGCTAGACCAAAAGGACTATTGTAAAGGGCATTGCTCTTTCTCCCCGATCCCTCTCGTGGGAGGGCAGGATGGGTCCTGATCTCCCTCACAGGGAACGTAACACTCTGGAGAAGCGAACAGCCTGGGTCACTTCCTCTCACTCGTTTTCCTCCATAGTGACCTGTTAGTCTTTCTCGGATATCTTTGCTGGCTTATTTTAGTAGATGAACAATATGTGAATATATTTGAATTAGCGGTTCACACGGCATCTTTCTTTTGGCCAAACTCCATCGAATTAAAGGCACTGAAGGATTTAATCAAAAGAGTTAAGAAAAAAGGTGTCCGTGTTTTTTCAAATGATTATCCTCTCCATACTGTACACTGTAATGAAATCATGTGGAAATTCTTTTAGTTTTTTCGTTATAATAACGACTAAGCACTGATCACAGCTTAGCCATTAGTTATTCCTGGTTTGAAATTCTATTTAAAAGCAGACAGTGAAACAGGCTGCCCCCTAAAATGCATTTCCACCTTTTTGTAGGATTTCAGAGGCTTCCCCAGTGGATGCATTATAATTTATGCATGTGTTCCTTGAGGGTTACATGTGGAACTGGAGACTGTTGTGCACATTGTAAGGAAGGCTGCTGAAATTATAGTGCTGTGGAGATTCATCTAAACGTTCTTCTGTCCAAGGTAGTCAGTCCGACTTCCTGGTTAACACAAGTACTCATTATTCATTTCTCCGTGTAAAATGCTGGCCAGGTGGCCAACAGCGTGGACGCACAGTCTTCAGGATTGATTTCCACGTTCACTTCAGTTACATGATTAGTTAAAGAGATTCATGCTTGTCACTGAAAAAACACATCCAGCAAATAGCAAAAAAAAAATGCGGTACTTTACAAACCAGATAACATGCAGTTATGTTATACTTCAACAGTCATACTGAGAATCTAGAATTAATTACTGATTCCCAGAAATGAACTGAAAATACAAGGGGAAATATTTTTTTCTAAATTGTATCACATATTACATAAAAACTGTTTGTAGGTGCGAGTTTTTGAGTGCCTATCTTTATAAGCCAAATTTAGACAACTCCATTTTCATTATGGCCCTGTGTGTTCCTGAATGAAGCAGGAGTCAGACAGAAAGAATATCCTGCGGTCTCATAGCAGGAACTGCTGTCGCGGTAGCCTGCCGTCGTAGTGGACTACTAACAAGGGCACCGAGTTAAGATCATATGAAAAACATGAGCCCAGCCTTTATATTCAGTGCTTTGGTTTACGATCCAGATAACAGTCTATTGAGGCAGAGGAGTTTGCATCTGATTTCCTGGATTATTTTACAGAGGAAAGAAGTAATAAACCACCCCACCCATCATCACCAGGCTTTGAATCCTGCACCAGCGATGCTGGCTGGCAGGTTGCTTCTGTGTAAGCTCTGGGACATCAAAACCTTAACTGAGAGCTTGAGAAGGGGTGGAAAGAGCATGGGCCAGCCTTGCCTGCTGCTTCTCCCTCCCCACCTCATCTAGGGCTTTATTCTCCAGCTCTCCCAGCACGGCCTTGTGCTCGCGGTAATACGTTTGCCGTTGCGGCAGCAGCTTTATCTGATGTCGCTTTGGCATGCTGCCAGCGTTTCCTCATCTGCACTGTGGCCATTCTCACTGATACGTATCTCAGCAAAAGCTGGATGTGGTCTGTGGGGCAGGAGAAGAGCATGTCTTCATCTTCGAGGTGCCGTCCGTTCTGCCAGCCTGGCTGGGTCGATCTGGTGGTGTCGGGTCTGCCAGCGTTACAGCTCCCCACCTGCTCGCGCCGGCAAAATGCTCATGGACCTGGCTCTGCAGAGCAGGACGCTCGAGACGTTCCTGCAGGTTGTTTTTGTGTCCTCCCCCATCTCACGTGCTGTGATTTCTTCAGGATTTTGCACAGCCCTTGCTTTGCCTGCAAATATAAGCCTCCAGTGTTTTATCCCCTGACTTTTGGGGCCAAGGGTTATGTATTGCAAATTACCCTCTGGGTCAGACCACATTAGGAGTTGCTTTGCATCCACTTTCTCTTAGCTGTGTTTTTCCGTGTTAAAGACCCCAGAGTGAAGATTGCAGTTAATCACTGTGTGTCATATGGCTTTCAAGAGCTTTGAAAAATGTCTGAGGTTGCCTATTACGAAGGCTATTTTGAGGAGAAGAGAGGGACCGGATTGCTAATAGTGTTAGAAGAAAAGCTACAGTTCAGCTGTTAGGCAAAACAGGCGCTGGTGGGCTGCTCTCTTGTGCTCTGGCAGAATATTAGTCCTACCTACCACACCTGGAGATTGGGTATGGCATGGACCGGTGTGTGTTTGTGCCAAACTTGAATTGTCAACCTTCAAAAACGCCCTGTCTTTGGAGAGCCCTGAATGCTGCCAAACCAGCAAGCTTGAGTTGGCTGGAGAACATGATGCAGGAGAAAATGAGATATTCCATCCCAAGCTAATCTTATTTCCCCTGTCTATATTGGACAATGGAAACATTCAGTACAGAATACTTCACCATGAGGGGGTTAGGGAATAAAAAAAGCATTCAGACTTTTTACTCATTTCCCTACCTAGGAGTTTTATGGGATAGTGCATAAGTTAAAGCTCCTCAGGGGCAGCTCTAGCTTGCACTCTGCTGTTTACACTGGATTTTGTGCAACCATTTACTACTGTGTTCAATAAAATAAGTCAGGTAATGCCAGCATCACGTGGTACATGCAGCATCTTGGGGAGTCTGACAGGTTCAGTAGCTTTCAAGACATATTTTCACCCAGCTTTTCTTCCTGCAGATCTCTCTCTGACCTCCTTCTGCGTCTGAACTGCCTTAATTGCTGGTGCAGGACTGGGAGAGGGAAGAGCTGTAGTCAGACTGTCAGCGGCTCTAACCGCGTCCCACAGCTCCCCAGCTAACACTTCAGGCATGTTGTTGAAGGACATTTTGTGGGGCTGAAAGCTGTCCGAGGCCTGGTCCATCCTGTGCTAACTTTCAGAATAAGGAGCCGGTCTCCCCAGAAGTAGCTTACCAAGGGGGTCCTAGCACAGTAGCAATAAGTTGGTGGAAAACGTATAGGTAGTTTCTAGGTTGATTTGGCAAAGCAATGCAGGAAAAAATTCCCCTTTAACTTTCTTTGAATGAAGCTTTTATTTGTCTTGCCAATAAATTGATCTCCACAGCAGACAAACGTGGAGGCCTAAAACACAAGTGTCAGCACGCAAGCCGGGGGTTGCCTTCCCTTGTTGACACCAGGAGAGATGTTGGCCTCAGGAGAAGGGCAGGAGACCGGGAGCTGGGAACCCAGGGCAGAGCTGCAGCATTGGCTGCACTGTGAGGCCTTGGCTTTACTTCCCTGCCTCAGTTTCTCCAGCGCAGCATGAATGATGCTGCTGCGCACAGGCTTTAAAGCAGCACTGTGAGGCTCAGCTGGTTTGTAAAGAGCTGCGGCTGAAAGCTACTGCCTGCGAACACCGCATTGCTAATGATTTTCAGGACTGTTGTGGTCAGCCTTTCACTAAGAGCAAGGGTACTAAGTGCTGCCGGCTCCTTTCTTCTGCCCAGAGACGGTTTGATGACATAATGGCAAAAATTATCCTCTCTGCTCATCTCTAAATTATAACGGAAGTT